GAGCGTCAAGATGGTCTGGAGGAGTCTGTGGATAGCGGTCTCCTTGCATACACCATCCCAGCTCTTATCGTGCGCGACCAAGGCTATCAACCGTATGTTGTATTCGTCTCGTCCGCTTTCCGTCGCTCTTCCGATTTTCTCTGACCTCTCTGCCCGTAGGATATTGCCTCGGAGTCTATCTGCGGCCGATCAGTTTCCTCTTTCATCCCCAATTGTCAGTTTTACCGGCCCTGTCGTCGGTCCGGGCCACGCCCTCCTCCGAAAGGAATCTGTGCCCACGCTGGACAATGTCCAGCTCAAGTGTTGTGGCTTCGTTCAGCTGACCACATTCCTTGCCCCCGGTAATCCTGATAAGACCCCGTTTAGAGGCTTCCATCCCTTCCAAGTCTTTGTCATCTTCCCGATCCGCGCGAATCCGTGGGCCTCGCTTTGCAAGAAGATGGCCGAGAGGCGAGACACTCAGTTCCAGAGCAATGTTTTGCTGACCTGTACCGGCAAGGTGGCCGGCCTGCTTGGCCATCATCTCATGGTGCAGCCGCCGACCCTCGAGCAGGACTACGTCTTCATCGTCGTTCCGGACTCCTGGACCTTTCTCGACAAGGGAGTTTCCGGGCCTGGCTCACCAACGCCGCCGCCGGGTGCTGCGACATCAGCGGTCCGTTCATCATCTTCTAACCATACGCCGTTCGAGGAGATCAAGGCCAAATTCACAGCGCGCAGACCTGCTGCCCCGCCGACTCCTCTTCCCGCTTCAACGCCGACTCCAGCTTCGACCCCGGGCGAATCGATGTCATCTGTCATCTCAACACCTTCTACAGAGTACCACTACCTCTCCACCTCGCCGACGCCGAAGCGACCAGCTTCACGCGTCGATTACACACCGCCGGCAAAGAGACCGCGCCAGCCGCCGATGTCCCCGATCACTATCCCTTCCTCGGGAACACATCTTTCGGCCGGCAGCTCGAGCTCACAGGAAACTGTTGACGAGCCCGAACCAAGCTGTGCCGGGAATCAGACCCCCACTGCGTCCTTCATGAGGCCCCTGATGCCAGCAACTCATCTACCTGCACCTACACCCGTCCTTGACACGATCACGGCTGCTGTGTCGGAATCCTCCAACCGCCCGAGCCGGAACCGCCATCCTCCGAAGAACAAATATTTGGAAGAAGTATCCAAAGTTTGATAGAAAGGCTATTTGGGAAATCTATTGTCATCACAAAGAGTGCAAATGAGTAGGAAATCGTCTCCCTTTTGTATATTCCACATTCAAGTCGTACAATTAAGCTCTGGTGCCTACGTCGATAATAATGCGTAGCCCAACCCACTCGCTCTTAACCTTAAATCCCCGCTTTTACCCGTCCTTGGCGACCGCACACGTCTTCTTGTGGGGGGCCAGTTATAGTGGTTAAGGCCCTATAAAAATTCTCCCTTTGAAAAAGAGTCTCCCCTTTGATCTGACTGCCCACCTGGTTTGAACCAACGGGAGCCCAGTGCACTGCCATTTTAGCCTCTCCTATGATCCTCCCCTCTCCGCTGGGGAAGGCGTCATTGCACCTTAGCGAGCGGGATTAACCAGGCAGATTCTACAACATCAAGCTTCGTTCCTCAAGGCTCCTTTGCGCAAACCGCGACCGGTTTGCCTCTCCTGTGGTATAGGTATATGGGCAATATATGAGTAATATATGGTTTAACTAAGGCAATTGATAGGGACGCATGACTCTTACGGACGCATGACTTTTATGCCTTCTTATTGGTTAAAAAATTATTGTTAGCTCTAATAAATTCTGCCGCCTTGACATAATGTCACCCTCTTTATTTTAATTCCAAAGAAGATAATCTGTATCTTAATTCATTTCATAATCTAGTCAGATTTATACCAAGCTATTTTATATCATTTCCCATTCGCTCTTCTCTCTTCGCACACTAGACCTCAATCTCCGCCCACTTGAACGAATACCTGTAGTCTTTCCATCCCCAAGTTTGTTAGATTGACTTCGCGTGTGTCGCTGAGAGGAGCTCGCTTCTCTAGTAGAAGTATGGCACCGTGACTGTGCATGCCTAGCAAGCGATTTTTTATTTAAGCTCCTACGCGGTCGACCACGCCTTCGTTCTGGCAACACTTGGATTGTTTGCCCTTCTTCCTGTTGTGTTGCTGCATCAATTGATAGTTGCGATGGAAGGGGTAATACTGTATTTCTAGGCCTTCCACGAAGAGATATAATAATCCTTGGGTCAATAATCCTTCGGTATGGATTAGAAGATGATGATTCTCGTATACGCCAATGTGGATGAACCTCTTGTTTTGTAAAGGAAGTTCCTGAAGCTAGCTTGATGTAGATTGAATGGTAGCATGGTATACCAAGTTCAACCGGGACAGAGCAAACACAGTCGCCAAGGGCAGCCGGGAATGGGTTCTTAGCTGTTGGCATTGCCTTCTTTGCCAGTCGATACTGTGCCGTAATTAACGCGAGACACTTCGATGAAACTAGAGTCCGAAGCTCGCCCAAGTACTCTGCGCTAGGGCGGAGATACTCAGGTGCAGTTAGTACCTCATCGCTTGCACAGCCATCTATAAAGTCCTGACTTTGATCTTTGATCATATCCTGCATCGCTTCAACTAGTCGATAGAGGTTGCTCATCCCATTTAGGAGGTATCCCTTGATATTGTTATTGCTTGCCTCGGTACCAGAGGTCACACGGATGCCAAAATTGCGATAGTTCTGAATAAAGCAGCGTGCCCATTGTGCCCGAATAGGCATATACGTGCCATAGAGATATCGTAATATGGGTCGTTGGTCGTTAAATTCCTTACAGAGATTAATCCACGCCTTATCATGCACCTCCTCAGTTTCAGCAAATACAACAAGCTTCCACATAGCAAATACACCATTAAAGGTATGCGGAATACCATTCTGTACTGGCGCTGAAAGAGATTGCTGGTTGGCGGTGCTAAGCTGAACTTGTGATGAGCTACCAGCCTCATTATCAGAGCCACAGCTGCTATTACTACTAGAGCCAGGGCTCTTTAGCCATTTTTGTTTAGCTCGAAGTTGGACGTTTGAGTTGATGTGATGGATACAAAGCTGCTGCTGAACCTCGGGGAACTGGTCGTTGAGTGCAGCTTTCATTTGACCATCGAAGTCGGTAATAATCACATCCGGTTGCTGGATGGAATGCTCCTCTATAAGTTGCTTGATACTCTCTGCAAGAAATTGGAAGCCCTCTCTTTTCTCGTTATCAATAAGACCAAATGCTGTATTAAAAACTGTTCTAAGACAGGTTTGACCCGTTGCTTGGAAGAGTGGAAGCTTAAACCGGTTCGTATTATAGGTATTGTCGAAGCTGATTACCTCTGGAAATCGTTTCCACATCCCTATGCAGTACGGAAAGGTCCATACAAGGCCTAGTAAACGGTTCGGATTATCATCTGCCCACTTGACGATATAAGGCACCTTCTGCTCATCAAAGAGCTTGATCAGCGCTGCTGTGGGGCTGAGGCCACCTAGCTTCTCGCGATTGATAAGAGATCTAGCATTATAGATATCCCTTTTTGTAAAGTTGAGTTCAGGGTGTTGGTCTTGAACAACAGCACGTACGTCACGGGCTCGAATGCCAACCCGACGACTTGTAGATTCAATAGTTGCCTTAGCATCCTTAGTCAATCTTCGATGAGAGGGATGTGCAGATGACGCAGCACTAGGCCCGTGATTATGCTGGTGATGCTCAGGATTGTCATGTAGCCGTAGAAGCCATGCCCCCTCCGTAAGCGCCTCAGCGATAAGCTTCCATTTACAGCCGCATTTGCGAGACTTCCGGGCCCTAAGATTAGCGCCCCGAGAGGGCTTTGGCTCTCCATATCGATCACACTGAAACGTATAACGTTTCACCCGGCCTTTATAGGAATAAGCATTGAGTTTAACAATGCCAAACCCATTATTCTTTGCAAATGTATTAACTTGATTAAAGAGAACCTCGGCTGAGGGAGCTGGGTCGCCGGGAATTGGTGGATTTGGGATTTGATTAGGCTCTGGTGAAGACGGCTCGTGGGTTGAAGATCGTAACCAGCTGTCGCTGTCAGAAGATATTGTAATTGTATCATAAGGCTGTGGTTGGTGTGTGGGCGAGTATGGAGGAGGAGAGTTAGATGTGCCTGAGCTTAGGGACGAATAGCCCCATTGTTCGCGCCAGTGCCGGACATGTTCATACGATTGGGCGAGTTCGAAGCTCAGTCTCTGCTCAGTGCCAATGACTTCTCGGACTAGGCGTAAAGCAGAATTGAATTGGGCACGTGGTGATATACTTTTATCGGTATATTCAATATTGGTTGTATTATTTTGCTGTAACGGAGAGCGAAAAGCCTCAGGGCCTGGTATCGGGCCTCGTATACGGGTTGGTGGTCTGTTTGGCGTTGGGTAATCATTACTAAGATATATATCGTGGTCAAATCGTAGCTCCCATGCTGGCTCTTCAAGTCCTCTTGAACCTTCAGGCTGTGGAATAGTTGTAAAGTGGCGGGGATATGATGCAAATATATTCTCAAGGGCTCCCTCGTCTCCAACGCCATAATAACTGCCAATGCTTAGAGCAGTATTAGTGGGTGATAGTTGACGTGGGACTATATATTCGCGTCGCTGTCGCTTCTGAGGTCGTAATTGAAGGTAGGAATCACTGCCATGGCGTCGAGATGGAGGCATTTTTGTATGAATGAAGATGGTCGATAAGGAATATATCAGAGCGGGCTCTGAATCAAGTAGGATTAATGAAGAGGCTGGATCCAGCTGGATTAAGATCCTACTACTTAATTGGCTTAATGGCGAGCTTGTTAAGCGAGCTGTCTTCACCGCCTTTCAAAAAATGTACATATGGGTCAAGTTATTTTTTAACCAATAAGAAGGCATAAAAGTCATGCGTCCGTAAGAGTCATGCGTCCCTAGTAAAACAGTCATGCGTCCCTATCAATTGCCTTAACTAAACCATACGCGTATGGTTAGAAAGCCTGTCAATGGCTAGAGCTCGACGGCTGGACTGAATGGATTGGCGCGGCAACCTTTTCGATTGCACCATCACTCACCTCTAAGATAAGCTCCGTGGCTGATGTTGACGTTTGGTTCAAGCGAGCTGTGTCTCGCCTTTGTGTTGAGAAACCTTCGCTATTGGCCTCTATTAACCGCGGCCAGGACGGCTCTGCCATTTCCAGACCTCGCACATTCCTCTATCGCCCATTAGAATCAGACCATGACTTGGCCGAAAGAATTGCAGGACAGACTACCATCATTCAGACTCCGAAGTCAGTTCAAGACGGCCTCAGGTCGGTGACCGATAACTTTTACTTGAATCCAGAGAAGCGCATCAGCATTGAGCTTGGGGGGCATCTCATCCAGTTTTCGCTTGTTGTCTCGTCGGCGGAGCCTGGCACCTTTGCTGTCGCGATTCGTTGCAGTCATGCACTCAATGATTTCTGGAGTGGCGCGGCGATTCTGGACAGCCTGCTTGATAAACTCGCCAATGGACTGGCTGAAGAGAAAACGGCGGGACCTTCCTACAAAGATGCCTCAACATCTTCCCTACATCATTGCTATCTCGACCTTCTTCAAGAGCCAATTGGTTATACTATCTTTGACCAGGCGTCTGAAGACAAGGCAAAGCAACTGATTGGCTCAAACCTTGCGAATATCACGTTGTGCCCTGTCGCGCAGGAACCCGCGGGAAACCTGCCGGACACCGAATACGCTGTTCGAAGACGAGTATTCCCAAAAGATTTGACACAGAAAATCATGCATCTGTGCAAAGCCCACGGAGTCACCGTGGCGGCGCTCTTGACTGCATTACAAGCGTTTGCACTTCTCCAAGCGTTCCCACCACAGGACCCATCACGATCCTCAGCCGCGCCAATTTGTGTGAGCAACAGGTTACGCCATACTACTCTGGCGTGCAACCAAGATGACACCTATGGCTCATCCCCGAAGCCGCTCCACCAAGTTGCCAACGAAGCAGCTGCTATCGGTCCCGTTATGGCGACTACCTTTCTTGTGACACCCTTTGAGGTCGGACCATTTCTGGAGTTCGAAGACACCTATAAAAACTCAGCTTGGAGCGATAGAGTATGGGAAGTTGCGAGGAATATTCATCAAGTAACCAAAGATGCAATTGAAAGCAACATAAGTGAGCATGTCGAGTGGACAAAAGGGCCAAATGCCTTTGGAGCTGTTACTCTGGCTATGGAAGCCATGAAAGCAGGACATATACCAGCGTGAGTCGTCTCGAGTGTCTAAGGTGAGAGGACGTTTATTAACGATTATTATCTGACACCATTCGTACACTAGACCACCTGGCATGCTGACTCCTCTTTCATCTGCTGGCCTCCTAGACGGGGTGCATATTCGAGAAAATTACGGACATGAGACTCAAGAAGGAGTCAGAACTGTGAGCTTAAGAGACTTTGCCTTTTTCTCACGCGTTAGCAATCTTTTTGGACGTGAGTACACCAAGCCTCTTCTAGACCACACTTGTTTCCAAGTTTTTTGTATTTTTTATTTCTTTCTGGCGCGATTACCTAGAGCGTTAACTTTTCTTATCTTAATAATTCTCGGTAGTGCTAGGCTAACCTTGTGGAAATATGTGTAGCACAAACTTGGGCTTGGACTGCTTTAGGAAAACTGAATAGCGTACTAATAATGCCCGACCCGCGTGCGCGGTCCGTTCCCAATGTAGAGTGGTGGACTGTGTTCAACCAAATGATCGTTGACATTTCTAGTGAGCCTTTAGAGTAACCACTAAATACGCTTGAGAATTGCTCTATAAATCTTCAGAAAGAAGATCACCCTCTAGAAGCGTACATGGCCATTCCATCGTCCAGCTCAAACTCGCTGGCAGTAGCGTACGTATACCTTGTATGTCTCGTCTAATAGTTTCGTACTCTCCTACACCATTTAGCCACCAAACGTGGTCTATCTTGTGAAGTAAAACCAGCGATCTTGCCATCATTGCCAATGCAAGTGGGTCATGTCTTTCAAGCAGCTCGCGATACCCGGCATGGCATTTCAGAAACATGAAACCAACGCAAGGCCGGAGAGACTGCGCCGAAGTGTTGGAGTAGAAAGCACGAAAACAGCGTAGGATGTAGTCTTTGGCACTTAGGTAAATAGTTATGACCTTCGCGTCCATAGCTGAGACATTGAATGCCTCAATCAGTTGTAGGAGTTCGTTTTCTATTTTTCGTAGAGACGTTTCAGCGCGGGCGAGCAACTCATCGTTAAATGAGACTTGGGGTAAAGTGCCGTTCCATACCCAGTCGTAGCCTAATTGTTGCAGTGAGACTCCTCCTTGGAAGAAGAGAGACGTCACTCCTTCAAACATGTCGAATCCTCGAAGCGGAAGCTCATATGTCTTGTCAGAGCATGTCTGGTGCACAAGTAGCCAGTGTATATGAGCAAGGAGGATAGCAGAGAGCCAGAGTTGCTCTGACACGTGCTTCTCAGTTGACAATGCTTGACGGTGATTTGACAGTGCACGGTCCAGATACCAGCGTACTGAAATTTCTATTTCAGCATCGTTTGGCGATGTAGAGTGCAGATGAAGCGCAGAAAGTGCCAACATCGGGTTCAGAACCAGATCATGCTCAAAGGATAGCCGTGGTATGATATCCTGCCACATCCGTGAGGAAGCAGTACCTATACAGTCAGACATCCTGTGGCTGACCACCGTAGCGTAATGATGCGTTAAGCGACACGCCAATCTTCTTAGGCGATTGGTGTCTGCTGGTAAGCCCGGGACAGGGTTAAAGACCCGGACCAGGGCTCCGTTAGCGGTTGTCGACTCGCTCCGTGCCACTATTGGCTTCCGTCTTGCTTTGCCATGTGAATGTGTAGGCCAGTCGCAGGACTGGATGCTGACATATCGTCGACGACAATTTGAACAAACGGGTTGAACTTCGTCACACTTGGAAGAGGTCAGTTACCCAGCCTAGAAAAGGGGAGATGAATGAGGCATCGGTCGTACGGTACCTTCACCTTTCGGAACCGACACTCTCGGCACCCAGACCGAGACTTTGTAAGCATTGGTCTATATCCACTGCGGTATATAACCCTGAAGATGCGAAGATGCGAAGATGCGAAGATGCGAAGATGCGAAGATGCGAAGATGCGAAGATGCGAAGATGCGAAGATGCGAAGATGCGAAGATGCGAAGATGCGAAGATGCGAAGATGCGAAGATGCGAAGGTGCGAAGATGCGAAGATGCGAAGGTGCGAAGATGCGAAGGATTAAAATAGCTGAAGTATTGGCACTAAGGATGATGAGGGTGACGATGGAAGAGGCGGTGTAAGTAGGCATTTAGTGACACTTAAGTAACCGAGGAGGCTTGTTAGTGCTGACTTGAGGAAGGAATAGGTATTGCTCATAAGCAATACGATGCGTAATATAACAACTACCTCCACCAATTTATCAGCGGATTAGGCGCTATACCGCTTTCATAGCCTACCCGAATTTTCCCAACCTATTATTTTTACATACAGTGGGGGGCAATAAGTTTGAATCCAAACTCAAGTACAAATTCACTGACTAACCGAGGTAAGACCAGTTTCCTACGTAGCAATACCCCAATCGGGATAGCCTTTTGCCTGATAAGGCTTAGCACTTACTTTATCAAGCTAAAGCTTTGTATACGGGAACTTGATGACAACAGCTGGTACTTCAGCCTGGATTCAAACTTATTGCATCCCACTGTAGACCGGGTATCCATGGGAATTGGCCTGGGCATAGTGGAACGACCATGGGGTTGAAACCATGTTTAATGAGTGCATTTAGCGAATAATATCAACCTAGATCCGAAGAAATCTCCTTTTAAGTTTTTAAGTTTAGCCTACTCTTTCTAGCAAAAGTATAAGAAGTTGAGAGAGCCAGCGACATGAGAGACAGGGAGACTATCCTATCAGCTTCTTAGATTATTTTGTTTGAATAATCTTTTCGTCTCCCCCTTCACCGTCTTTATTCTTCTATCACTATGCGTTTCTCTACCGCTTTCGCTCTCCTCGCCGCCGCCACTGGTAGCGTTGATGCCTGGTCCGGTAAAGTCTTGCTCCATTTCCTTGTGCAAAAGGCGTGTAATGCACTAACACTGTACAGTGTGGTTCTCCGAGGACGGATTGTGTTCTCTTCAACCTGGCAAGAGTAAGCGGGCGCTATCAAGTGACCACCAGGGCGACTGCTACACTTTTGGTGCCGACATGCCCGGGGTATCGTGTACCGAAACCACCATCAGCAACAAGGGCAACCCCGCTTTTGGGCCTTGCGGCAACCCTCCGTGGCGGCCGCACTCCCTCGAGATCGTTTCCGGTCGAGGCTGCACTATGTTCATGCATCCCAACTGCGAGGGCCCCCGTTGGGACACCGGCAAGCCATTCGGCTGCCTATGGCGCGAATCTAATGGTGACTCCACCATCAGATCGTTCCGTTGCGTAAGTGGCGTCCGCTATTCTTTTCGTTGAGGTGCCTTCTAACGACGACCGTAGTACGACTAACTGAACTCCTTTCTCTTATCTTTCGGGTTGAAAGATAAGCAAGCTCGGGATTGTTCTTTAGGCGAACCAAGCAATTCCTTATTGCTGGGTCTGCAGTGATTTAAAATTTGAGTATTGTTATTCGCACCAACAGCCCTTGTTAGCCGCACCAACAGGTCACATAATCATAGAGAATTCTCTCAGATTCCAATCTTATTTCCCTTCTTCACATACAAATTCACCTACAATCAATAGGGGCAATTAAATCACACATAAAATAAAGAAATCTTAGTCAATTGCGATAAAAAAAAACGCTCAATTCGCTCAATTAAAGCTATCTTCACAGCGGTGCCGCAGCCTCGATGCAATCGCTCGACCTCAGAACTCTGACGTTGGCCACTTCGCGAGGTAACTTGTTTGCTCTGTTGCCAACGATCTTTCCAAAGTATTGATTCTTTGGCAATAATTCCAGAAGTTGCGAAACGCAAGCTTCGAAGCGCCAATGTCATGACAATGGTTTCGGGCAGAGAGTACCGTGCCCCAGCTTGGGATTTAATGTATTCGAAAAGAAAGCAGTATTTGTTGACAGTACCATGCAAGAAACGCGTCATGGAGGTTGAAGGGATAGCGAAAAATGGAAGTTCTTGATCTTGACATACCGTGATAGGATCAGATTGACGCGTAGATTCCAAAGAATCGAAATGTGAGAGGACAAGGTCGAGCAGCTTCACCGAGACCCGATCTTCTGCTCGAACCCCGTAACTGAAAGGGACTGACACACTGCCTTCGTCATATTGGACTAAGCTTGCTCTTACCCGTAGTTTACTCAAACGGTAGGCCAGACTGAGCGAGGCTTGATTGGCATGACTTCCTCGAGTGGATCTTTCGTAGTCAGCTACGTACGACGGATCGAGAGCCATCTTTTCGAGTTGACGGTTCTGAAACGGGTATTGCTTAGCAGCATCGAAAGGAATCTTGACAAAGTTATAGAATTGACTGTATATGAGACCCTCACCGACCTCTCGGCTCTTATCTGCAGGCTGTATCGTCATATCAATCGTATCACGTAGTGTAAACCTGGGGTATTCGATGAGCCGAAGAGGAACAGACCGGGACTCTGAGGTCGCTATGTCTTCGAGCGAGCTGCGTACAAATGGATACATGGCGTTATACTGACTGGTCCACGCTTGTCGTTGTCTCCATAGTTGCTTCAGACAGCATCGTCGCCACATGAGGACGTTGGCTTCGGCGACAGATCCAATGCGAGGAGTATATTGGCGCCCAATATCGACGTACGTATCAGAAGGATCAAGAAATGCCTGATCCACAGCATTCTGCCACTGACTACGCCAGGCTCGAATCGTTTGCCTGATATCGGCGTTCATGTAGACAAGTTTGAGGTTTTTGGCACCCAGATATAGTTTTATACCGGCGAATTGGGGGTATGTCGCCGCATGAGTACGAACTCCTTCCCATATGGCCTCAAGATGTCTATTCTGGAGGACGTAAGAAAGCGAAGTACTTCTCCTACCCTGACCGAGTATTCCAAATTCCGCGTTCATATCCGAGAGCCGTTCAGTGGAAATTCCTTCTTGCCGAGCACGCGAGTTAGTCTGGGCAATGTTGAGGTTCTTGGGAATATACTGGAGTATATTTGGGTCGCGTACCGCAGCTGCGATAGCTGGAAACAAAACATGGTCATACCAGCAAGAGTATTGGTCCCGGGCAATGCAGGTTCGTTTCAAGGGATCCTCTTGTGAAGTCTGCATGTAAAAAGCTGGAAAGAAAATCCATATGAACGTATCAGTTAACCCCTGGACTCGTCCAAAACAATAGTTGGGAACGTGATGCAGGGGTTGCCGATCTGGAGAGCTTCCCCTAGAACAGGTACCCAGCCTAGTGAAGCTGTTGTTCGGAATGTCGATACTAAAGTGTACATTGTCTGTGTGATTGAAGATTGCATATGGCTGGGGATACCATTGGATACCAAATTTAGCGACGGCAAGTGATGAAGGAAAGCTACAAATGCTATCAACATCATAAGTTCTCTGGAGGAAATCCTCTGCAAGTGGATTCTCAATGCTATGTCGTTTTGAGAGGCAGAGGCTCGGTGGCGCACCCCCGTTGGGCGCTCCTTCTAACGCTATCTGGCATGCTTCCCGATAGTCATGGCCACATACGTTGTTTAGGGGAGGCGAGTTTCGAGAGGTTCCCTCATTATTAGCAGGTTCAGTATGTTGGGTATGACTCAGAAGATCGAACGAAGGATCCATTACGTTTGGGAGTGGGTGACGGTTATTTTCGTCACCAATCAAGCCATCTAGCCGGGCGACAACATCGTTGAGAGAATCACAAGACCGATGACATTTGTTCTTCGCTAGTTCCTCATGATCTTCCTTATGTGACTGTCTCGAGCAACTAGGGTGTTCGGTCCATTCTCTCGCAAGATAACGTTCAAGTGAGGGAACTGTCTGCTCCTCGTGAGAAGTATCCAATGATCGATGGCCGGGTTCGGAGACTTCTTCATCAGATGATAGAGTGTCGAAATCTTGTCGAAGATCATCTATAGCCGTGGTCAGCGCACGTCTCGTACCATTTTCAATGAAGATAGTATAGGACAACGAAAATACCTAGGGAGGCCGTCGGGGAAATATGGAGGCCCTTCCCGAATGCTTCGAGGAGCTCTTGAATTTCGTCACCTTGTTCGGATCGATGATTTCTTATGTATTCAGTAGGAAGATCCGAGAACAACACCTGACAGTCTCTGGTACTTGCGCTCGAAGCAGTAGATTCATGGCTGGTAGTGCTATCACTATCGAACGGACAGTAATCACCCAGATCGTAACTGGGACCATCATGAGTCGCAGTATTGTCGCCATACGAAAGAGAGCTAGGTTGTCCTGGGTCCCCACAACTGAGGTCAAGTGGTAAGCAGGAGTCATTCGGTAAGATGATGTGTGGTGGCAATTGGGCCATGGCTGATGAACTGGTTGGAACATAAGGGATGTGCTGATAGTATCCGGTGAATGACAAAGATTCTCCTTTATCTTGCTGTACACGTTGACGGTACTTTTGCGAATGCTCCCGTTGGGCGGCTAGCCGCTCCTCTTCCGTGTGTACTTTTCGGGGTCGTCCCCGACGTCTTGGTGGTTCCTCAGGCATATTATGTTGGTATTGAACGAAGCGAATGTGTTCGACGGAGAAGAGATGGTTTCTTCTGTGTGGATGGTCTAAGCGATGCTGAGTTCCCCAGCAAAAGTTGGATTAGGCGGTTATTTATGAGGTTTGTGGAGAAGGTAAGCAAAAACGTGTTTCTGATGAGATGAGAGAAACCATGCGGAGGTGAGGCGATGTGTTATTAATGCACTAGGGGGTTATTCTACAACGCGAATCAAGCATTTTCATGAAGGATCACAATTTCGGCAGTTGTTTTCTCAAGCAAACAAAGTTCAGTGGCTTGTTCGTGAAGTGACAGGACAACACCCTTGTCGAATGATCCAAGAACAAATCCTACGGTCCTTTCCGGTATTCTTTATCGCAAGATCAGTTTCCAATGGGACAGAGAAAGCCTTTGTGGGCGATAGAACTGCTCGTGAACCTCCTCTCCAGCCTGGAAGTAGTTGGAGATCTCGAGATGAATCGATCTATCACCTCTGATTATCCGTCGTGGTTGCTATCCCGTCACACTACATTCTTTAGGCAAGCCAATCATATGCGGCATCACGAAGCTATTCCTCTCTTGAATATTTCTGACGATGACACTATTCCGCTTTCGATTTTTTCTGACATTGCGAATCTGCGCTTTTCCTATTCAGCTTTTTTCTGACGCAGGACTTCCTTATGTCAGCGAGCTTTTCATCAACCTTCAGTCGGAAAATCATTACAAACTCTCATAACTCGTGCTACAGAGCTACAAAAAATGCGGGACAGAGTCAAGGTCAATCGTCGAAGCTGCTTCTACCTCCAGCTTCATTTTTGTGTTGTGTTAATAAACTTTTGTTCTCTGAATAGCCCGTGATCCCGAACCCCAACATTGCCATATGAGTCTGATCAAGTTCCTTGTCTTCAAGTTTGACGTCATTAGTCTCTGACGCGTCTCTGAGTGTCATTGTTTCAAATTGCCTGCCTAGCATAGAAGCCAGACTGAGTATTGGTAGGTGAGTAGAATATCAGTGGTTTTCTGGATGATGTAGAATGGAGAAGGGGGGCATGGCGCTTCTTAAGTGCTTCATACCGTACTTGTACAAGGTGAGCCTGGCGTTGACGACCCAGCGCGAAGCCATTTGCAACAGAGACAACCGAATACCACTTGAGCTATCATCATGGCTTGAGGAGCTAAGATAGACTAGCCAGATTGGTCCTGATAGCCGACGAGAAAGTGCGGGGTAGCCTAAGATAGATCTGGGGTATCATCACCTCGTTGATAAAGTTTGTCACTAGACTTAGAAGGAAATAGTAGAGCAAGGGGTTCTGACACTTGATTTCCTGGTCGACAGGGTGGGAGATACTCCGTTCTATCGGCGGGAGATAACACGGGGTAGATCATGTGGGTATCATGAGATCGATTGGGTTCATGATAACAAGTTATTATGTCGCTTCACAGCCATAGGCCAACTCCCAGCGCTGCGATAAGAGTCGTTTACCTCATAAACAAGGGATACAAACGCGGGGTAAGGAAGAGCGGCTGTCACAAGAGTCTCTGAAGAATGAGATTATTGATGTTTAAAATTTACTCCTTTACTAATCCTTACATTAGGCATAAGCATATTGAAGTGGCCTGGTTTGAGAACGCCGTACGTAAATCGATCCTTGTTCTGGATTCTGGCTGCATCAGAGAAATTCTCTCCAGAAAGTCTCTTGCCCGTGCAAAATGTTCTCCAAACTGAGCCAACCCTTTGAATCTCTCAAGAATCCACGAGATATGGAGCTCCTCATCTGTTTCTAGAGAAACCAGGAATAATGGGCGGGCAATCCTGACCATGGCAACGTCTCCTCCGTGTTGGTAAGCTTGGTAGGCTAGGTTCATGATATTGCGAATTGTCTTGCTATCGTTCAGTTTGATATGGAGGGGAGGGCGGATGTTGCGAGCGATCCGAAGAAAGTCGAGTATCTCGGTGTAGTATATAGGTACTATAGAGCGTATAGTTGCTACCATGGAGTGGGAGTTGTTGGTGGCTGAAGTGAGCCGTGATGCAAAATCAAGAATGTTCATGTGCCTCTCACTCGTCTCGTGGATGGTAGCCTCAACCTTTCTGACAGCATCAACGACAGCCAAACCACCAATGGGTTGAAGACTCGTCAGCTCGGATATTAGATACCGTAGCTGAACACTAGCCCCCAACAGTTCAAAGACCTGCTGGTTCTCTAGGTCATCCATTAACTCTCCTGCGGGGTAGTCATCACCCCAGACTGAACGGTAGAGCGATCCAGAATAAGTGTCTAGTCTGGACAGTCTTTTGATTGGACCTGTCGGCAAACTGCTCTTGTCATCATTTTCCGGTAACCTTTCGCCGAGAACTCTAGTGACTTGGCCGCCCAGTCCAAATGATGAAGCGGTCGCATCCATCCCGCAAATCCTTGTTATCAAGCGAGCGCAAAATTGAGATAGATGTCGAGGACTGCCTGATTCAGCCGCCCTCATCAAAGGTACTGACTGATCTGCATCGCCAGCTCGGTGCAGGATATCGGCGTAGTGATGCTTAAGGATAAGTGCTGCTCCATTCAGATGGCTCGCTAAGCCCCTGCATTTGGCGTCGCCATGGAGCTGTTCATACATAATCATGAGGACCAATCCACTCGTCAGTGAATCAAGATTGGCTGACTCGGCTGTTGCGTTGTCGCCCAAGATGGTATGCAGTTCTCGCAATGCCTCGGAATAGTGCCTGAGTCCAAGTGTTCGGTATTTCGAGGAACCATCTTTCGATTGTGCTCCCGATACACAATACCGTCTCTCATGCCATTGGTGCCTGTAATCAATACCGCAACCTCCAATCGCCAGGGCCATGTGCAGTACAAGAGGCTCATGTGTAGCAAGGCGCAACATTATGGCGAATGCAGAGTATTGTGGCTTCTTCATGATATACAATGGCGAAAATGACTCTCGAAAGTACTGTATCGCTTCAACCTCTTCATTCCCGAGTTCCATGCCGTAAGTTCCCCATTGTAAGGGTGTATTCAACGAGGGCATTATTGCGGAGGAGACCCCCTCAGCCTCAAACCGAGGATTTCCACAACTAGACTCGTCCTGACCATCTTGTCGAGGCGTCGGCTCAAGGCGAGAGAAGTCGAGGCTTGAATGGACAAACGTTCCGACAGGGGACCCTTTAGGAAAGGTGCGGAGCCGGGGTTCATAATCGCAGTTGAGCTTGAGGCGGACACATCGTCGGCAAACAGGCCGTATCTCATCGCATTTGACCTTCTTGGTTCGGCATGTCCAACAACCGCTCCGAGATCTAGGAGCTGATCGACCTAGTGGCAGTGATGTTATTGGATTGGATTGGAGCTGGATCCGAGCCTCGATCCAATCCAGTCCAGACATGGGGACAGGCAGCCTCCAGGAGATCCAGAACCGATCCAGTTCACATTTTTACCCTTTTGGGATAGTCAATGAGCCGCTGAATAAGCAGACTGGGAGTGGAACTGTTCTTGTCCTTGGGCTATGACACCACCTAACTACAGAGCTTTTGTTCTACAGTAACTTGCGTCTCCAGTATGTTCGACTTCTCGCTTCCATCATCTTCGCCGCCTTACTCTCCCTCACCCGGCCCATCCGCCCCAACTGTACTCCCTGCCTCGCCTTCCATCAAACCGATGGCAGAGTCCTCAAATGCCTTCTGCTCCGGGCGACCATACCAAGCTCGTAAGCACTCGCTGGCTTCAATGACGTCCATCCGGAGCCGTGAGCGATGATCTGTAAGGAGGAGCTTGGCGCTGCTAAAAAGGCGCTCACACTCATCCGACATAGGAGGCAGGGCTAAAACGTCCAGCGCCATACGAGCTAGGTCTATCTGCGAGTAGTAACATTCATTCCAGTACTGGATGGGGTCGAATTCCTCGTCATCATTAAGGCCGATAACATCAGTGGTAATAAACTTATTATAGTGATCCGTTAAGGGCAGTTCGGGACTTAAATGAGGGTCGAAGTGGCGTAGTTTAAGACGCTTATGGTTTCTCACTGAAGTAAACGATTTCTCTTTCGGTTCTAGGCTCTTAAAGACGTGAGTAGGAACTGGCGCGCCGTGGGCGAACTTGCCTTTGTATTCGTCAACCCAGAGCTCCTTAACTGCTCCAACGGCAGCTTGGATCCAGGCACGCTTGTCATCACTGCCATTCCAAACCTGATAGTACCATTGGTTCTTAAGGCTTGGATTCAACGATATGGCGGCGTAGTAAGCGGGCGATTCATCGGCCTTGTTATAATACTTCTCGCATTTCTGCCAAGCAACTTCTGCAGCCGCAGCAAGCCAGTTATAGTCGTCGAATTCGTCATGCTTATCCTGTCTATTCGGGCCACGCTTCCGCAGGGCATCTTCAGCGAGCTATTCAAACTTTCGCCGAGCAAGGTGGATTTCATCCATAAGCCAGTCCAGCGATTGAAAATAATCCGCAAGAGTCCACTATCTGCCTTCGTTCATTACTGTGGCCTCGTAGAATGTCTCAAGTTGGTCATAGAGGTGTCCGAGTTCGTCCCATTGCCGTGGGCTAAGGCGTTGGTCCAGGACGTCTCTGTCGCTTTGTGGAGGCTCATATTGATCGCAGAAGAGCTGGATACGTTCTTTGACATTAAGAGCGCATCCAATTAATAAGAAATAAGAATTCCAGCGCGTGGACTAACTTTGGACAAGCTGCAGCAAACTCCAACGTCAGTACTAAAACCGGAAGTGTAGGACGCCGCGACTACCTTGCGACGCGCACTAGGGGAGCTTACCTCCAATCCGTCAAATACAGCCAGATCGCCGCTAATTTGTATTAATCTAAAGAATTAACGCCGTTAAGGGCTAGCTCTAATGTATCATACGATATTATGGAGCCTCCCAATTGCACCGCGCTTCTTCCACAGCTCACGAATCCGCGTATAGTCCCCTTCTCGATACGCAGAGTCCAGATCCTTGCAGGTCTTCGAAGCATCCTTTCCCATAATAAACGCCTGGGCGCAGAGATTGACGATATGGCCAAAACACCGAAGGCGTCGTCGTACGCGATGTTTCCTGCTCATGTTCTGGTAAAGAGCCTTCAGGACCAGGTCGATGCAGGCATCATTAGAACTTGCATTATCCGCCATGAAATAACCGATCCGGCCACTGATCCCGTAGTCATCAAATATATATAGGAGGACATCTGCCATATTCTCACCTGAATGTTCGCCAACTAGTTCGCGAAGAGCCAGGACAACCGTTCTTCTCTTGCCGCTTCTGTTAATAAAGTGCGCGACACATCCAAGGATAGCCTGATAGTTCGGTGACGTCCATATATCAAACAATATCGATATATTACTGTGGGCCGTTTGCATTTCTTGACGCAGGCTATCCTTTCGTGCCTCAAAGGCCTCTATTATCCATCTGCAAACCACTAGTCTCGCCTTTGGAAGGAGTGTTATCAGGCCAGGGAAAATATAGAAGAGGAGTTCGCGAAAGTAGAGGTTCTCGATTTGAAAGAAGGCGATATGACAATAGACGATCCATCGAATAAGAAGTTCCTTAAACTCATCAAATCGGCATTTAAATACAAGGGTGGATATATTATTAAAGTCGACGATTAATAGCTGCAATAGGTAACGCTTCGCATATCTGCGCTCACCAGTCTCCCTATCGATTTAGTATTTCGATTCCAAATAGTCTAAGGCAGTACAGTTACCCTTGCCGGAAATAGGAAGTCCCTGTTGGCGCTGCTATTGTTCGCACAGATAACAGTACCAGAACCTCTTCGTCAGGTCCTGCTTGAGTTGTATGTCTTCACCATACTGCCAGACGACTGATATCCTTTTCTTGGTGTGCTTTTGGGACTTTGCCACAACAACATAGCGTACATATTGCTTCCCATTTAGCTTGAATTCGTCGGGCTTAATTAGAATTCCGTCGAGGTCGTTTGGGCGAGGACTAATATACGTTGGAGCAAGAATAACTCTATCAGAATCAGGACGGCGACCGCTGGCAGCACCGAAATAGCTAGAGATAGTAGCCATGGTGTAGCTGGTGAGTGGACTGTTCAGACACGTTTGCCACACTAGAAGGACTGCTGAAGTCGCGAACGACGCGTTTGCCTCCATGCTTTTAATAGCGCAGCAATCTGCGCGCGTTGGATGTTAACCCAATAGCGGAACGATGGTTCGCGCGTCGTGTCGACGGGAGCTGCGACGGGAGACTCTCATGACCACTCAATTAGGCTTAGCTCTTACCTTATCAGGTTAGACTATTGGAGCTCCAGGAGCTGGTTGCCAATCAATCCAATCCAGTCCAAATCTTCGAGAAACCCAAATCCAGTCCAGTCATTTTCCGACAAATCCAGTCCAATCCAAATTGCCTCCAATCCAATAACATCACTGCCTAGTGGCATTGGTGATGTTGCATGGCAGGGTGATAGCGACATGATTATTTCCGCTATTGGCATAATAGCCGACAGCCGACGACAGACAACCAAATAAGCAATATCTAACGAGAGATGAGGAGTCGTAAGATGAGCCAACAGGTGAGTGCATGTCTAATTGAAGTTGCAAAGTGAGGAGGCCCCGACTTTATGAGACTGGTCGGCTATTTTAGTGGGGACTGCTATCTTTCGTCGGCTACTCGTCCAGAAAGGGTTTGGTTTGTTACCCCAGGTCTTGAGATGCTCTTCGCTAACCTGATAACGGCCTCAAGTTATTTTCAGTGGCTTGGCGTCAGTTGCTGAGTTAGTTTCTGAGCTGTATCAAGCAGTGGCAACCTCCTGAATTTCCTTGGACCTAGCAGAGTTAACCTGAGCTTCTCGGATCATTCCCATATTGATCTGCGAATTGAGAGTAGTATATAACACTACATGTCATGTTAAAGACACCCAACGGTGATCTGTACCTTGGGACTTACATTCAATTCGGATAAAATGATGGTTATCGATTCAAGTTCATCACCAGCTCGGCTTGCGCCAGTACATTATGATGCAAAGTCCCTCGACAAGGTCGGAATTATTGATCAATCCAGCGCAATCGTTGCTTCAACACTGGATACTCTCAATTCCGCCTTCCAAGAAGTCAACCTCAGCATTCACTCCCATCCTGAAACCGCATACCAAGAAGTCTTTGCGCACGATAAATTGACCGACTTCCTTGAACATCATGGTTTCGTAGTCAAACGTCATGCATGGGGACTTGACACAGCCTTTGAAGCAACATTTGGCTTTGGAGGTCGTCAAGTTGTCTTTTGCGCCGAGTACGATGCACTTCCAGGTATTGGCCATGGTTGTGGCCACAACCTCATCGCAACGTCCTCTCTTGCGGCTTTCGTCAGCGCGGCTCGTGCTCTGCAGATGACCAAGCTTCCTGGACGCTTGCGTATCATTGGAACACCTGCTGAAGAAGGTGGAGGCGGCAAGATCAAGCTTCTCGAGGCTGGAGCATTCGATCCTCCCCAAGATATCGCGGCAGCTCTCATGTCGCACCCAACAATCTCGGGACCGAGCTCGGATGGTCTGATGTATGATGGGATAGCTGGCACCAAAAGTATCGCGGCATACAAGACCAAGGTCATCTTCAAGGGTCGAGCATCGCATGCAGGCGCAGAACCATGGAATGGAATCAACGCATTAGACGCTGCTGTTGGTGCATACGTCAATGTTTCCATGTTGCGACAACAAATCAGACCAGATGAGAGAGTTCACGGTGTATTCGAAGACGGTGGCACAGTTCCCAATATCATACCCCAGTACACTCGGATGAACTGGTGTATTCGCAGTCCTACGTTGGGTGGGTGTGAGAACCTCGTCAAGCGAGTGCATGCCTGCTTTGAGGCTGGAGCTGCTGCGGCGAATTGCAAGGTCGAATATGAGACGTGAGCTTCACTCCTTCTATCTCTCATTACTATACTGACGACACAACTTTAGAGCACCATTATACAGTGACCTTCGTGTCAACAACACCCTTTCAGACACTTACGTCGAGGAAATGGCCAAATTAGGACTGAAGATAAAGCCAGAGGAGAATGTACCTGCTTCGACGGACATGGGTAATGTTTCGTACCACGTTCCGGGCTTCCACGGTGGCTTCGCTATTCCAACGGCTTCAGATGTGTCCATTCACCATCCAGACTTTACTACATGTGCTGGGAAGGAGGGAGCTCACAAAGCAGCTATGAAATGTGCCAGAGGGCTTGCAATGACAGCAATTCGGGTGCTGGCAGATGAGGGACTGTCACAACGCGTTAGAAATGACTTTGAAAGAGGTGTATAGAGAATTGCGACATTGAAACATTCTAGATATGTTTAACATGAGATTACATAAACACAAGAACTTCACATGATGGACTATGATGTCGAGAGCCTTGCAATACAAAGCATATTAGGTCGAACAGTGTGGGGATAAACTTGGCTAGCTTAGCAGGTTTAAATATAGTCTAGAGAGATCCTGACAAGCTAAGTGTTTCCCGTATCTGATCTTTACGAGGTCAGTTATATGTATCCCAGAAGAGAATGCCAACATGAGCATCCAAGAGATTAAGGACTGCAAGAGCCTATTCCAAGCACAGCGCGTATGGGTGATAAGAATGAAACGTTATAAGTGATAAGCAATAATATACCTAGGAAACAAACAAACATTACATCCGTATATATAAATGGGCTGTCATGCGCCTCACCTCATTAAATAAAGAAGGCATTTTATAATAGGTAGGATTTAAAATTAGCTTCTGCCCTTAATATTGCGCTTGTACATAAGTTGAGGTTAAATGTTGGAAAATCCGGGGATCCCCCTTCCCTTCAGGGTTTAGACTGTTAGTCTGAAAGTCCTAGATTTAGAGTTCAAAGTCCTAGATGAAACTATTTAGAGATATAAACCCAAGAACTCGCATCTCAATAATTAACAATCAAGTTTTTACAAAATATTTTTTTTTTTTTTTCACCTAGCACTACTGCGCAATATAAACAACATTAAATCGACAAACTATTGCTATATTCATAGTGTAAAAGTGTTTCACTGGACTGTGTTATTATTTTTTACAGCAGTATTATCTCTTTCGTATAGCACTTAAGGCCTTCTGATGAAGTTGCCTCGGCTCGGATCTCGGCACATTTATACTAGTTATATGTTCCAGACCGATACTTATTTACCCTATTATCGGCTGGTATATCTCTGAAGGGGACTCTTCTACCCACAGTAGTGACCTCAACTCCGAAACAGACGAGGAAAACGTCAACCAATCGCCTCGTGAGGTATATCAATCGGATCCTGAGGTCGAAGGGATTCGAATGATATCCTCCACGCCCCTATTAATCAACTGGAACGAAGTGAATACCCCCGAGCTGAAGATGCGACAGATCCGTCAGTATGAGCAATACGTGGCCTTGCGAATCGAGTGCTCAGTGGCCTCGGGCACGCCCTTGACACCTTCTGTGTCACATGTTAACGAAAAGGTGCGGAAAGCACATACAACTCTCGCCATAAATGGCATCACAGCGGCTCAGGAGATGCGCCATCTCTCAAGGAGAAGAACCTTAAACGGTCTGCCCGTGATCAGGGGACTGTAATCTTGGCAAATTACGGCCCAATTACAGTCTACGATGCCAGACTTCGCGTCGCCAAGGACTTACACAATCGACGAGCCAATCAGGCGGCAGAGGAGCTGCGTTTTCATAAGAAGGAAGTAAGGGACGAGGCTGCATATGCGCGCCGGTGGCTTTTGCAAGTCAGTAAGCTTCTCAGGGCAAGTCTTCGTGACTTACGGGTTGCTGATATAGTCAGAAGTCAACCTACCTACTCAAAAGAGGTGAAATCATTCACAGCCGGTCAATTGCACTTAAAGACTCAACACCAAGAGTGTATCTCGTCAACAGCGTTACTGGGGACAAGATATTGCCTCCACCGCGAGATGCACTCGAAAATGAGGATATCCAAGGAATTGGCCAGCCTTGCGAAGAAATCTGGCCAATCAGAAGTCCACAAAGTCTTCAAATTCCGTTGGAACCCCCCTTTCCTTCTTCCATTTGACTATGACTTCAATATCTGTAAAGAAGCAGTGGATTTCATCATTGCTGACGAGGAAATACGGCGTGCATTACGGCAAAAGCTATGCCTTGAGATTGATGGAGTGGAAATAGATGAGGATAATGAAGAAAGTGATTCTGAAGAAGCAGAATCGTTTGAAGATGAAGAAATTACAATTATGGATAGTATTATCGTCAGATAGGGCGAATTCGTTATGCTAAAGGATAAATAATTTACTATATTTCTCGCGATAGCATTTTAGTGTTTTTGCTATATGCAACTGGAGTGAATAGTCCGGCCAAATCATGCAACTAAGCGTATGAAATAAGTGACTTCTTATTTTGATGTAAATAGGTGGAGAAATGAGGTACCTCAATTTTCCCAGTCAGCAGACCCTTTTCCTGGTCAATGCACCCCCCGTGCTTGGAGCACGGAGCCTGCGGAGTGATTCAAAGCTAAGGGGGGCCGGTCTCTAGGCCCTACCCAAGTAGTAATTCCCCATTTAACAGATACGACGATCGTAGTGCTGGTGCTGACTTGAACGTTGTGTTTGCGTGGCGAAGCGGACATCGACCTTTGCAGCAGGGGATCACATATGGCCTTGATGGTGCGATCCCACATCAGCTCCAAATCTTTAGCGTGAATTTGGAGAAGTTCAAAGCTCGAATACGTTATTTATTGATTGTAGCTGGCCATGCGTCACATCCACCAAAAGCCTGGAAAAACCGGCAAATTCCTAGAATTCTGCAAGCACTACATGACCCGCATATATTCCTCAGGACTCAGGCTTCCTTCCATAAACCGAGCAACTATTGATGCATTAGTACATGAAGATCGAGGCCAAAGGCAGGGCGTATACATTGGCGAGTAGGCATGAATCTTCGGGTCGTTCAATTCCTTCCTCACATCAGCCAGAAAAATATGAACCTCTTCCTTAGACCATTTAAGAACTCTCGTGAACGGCGCCAAAGTGGCCGCCTCAAGAAAACGGGCTGTGTTCTCATTATTCCACGTCCCGAGTTCTTTGTATTTCTTGTCCTTTGCCCAGTGGTTTGTCGGCCACTTGAAACGGGTTTCGACGACCTCGGTGAATCCGACCTCGGCCATGATCTCCCTGAATTTATCGGTTTGTTCGTAAGGCCGGCCCAATTTGGCTGCTGCTTCGCGTAGAAGATTGCACCATTTCCAAAGGGCATGGTCTTCGGTAAGAGTACCGTCATCGGACATCAAGAAACCATCAACCTCCAGCAGCTCAATGTAGCCGCCCGGGGCGAGATTCCTAGTCGAGTTAGGACGGGCACATTGGGAATACGAGGCCTAAACTGGAGCTTACTGGAAGATTTTGCGCAGATAAACAGTCCAGTTCTGAACACTAAAGTTCATCATTCTGCTGTGAATGTAGTCAAACGGCTCGGAATAACCCCAGTCCTCATCTATGTCGTCAATGAGGAATCGGACATTTGGGGGAACACTGGATAGCTGTTAGTTAACGTGACGACCACAATCGCACACCATGTTTACAAGCTCGGCTGAATGGGAGATAGATCTATACCGATAATCTAGGTGGTATAGTGTCAGTTGGAAGACTTTGGCTCTGCGACTACTCTCTATTCACCTCAGCCTCGGGGTGCTCATCTCCAAAGTCAATTGCCCAAATGCCTGTGCCAGTGCCCAAGTCGAGAACCCGTTTGACCTTGGAATCAGGGAGGTTTGGGGGCGAAAGGCCAAGTTTGTTGCCGAGAGTTAAGAGGCATAAGTGGTGCTCTAGGTCTAAACGGGTTGAGCATAAAAGTTACAATACCGGGTGAGGTGCGTTAGCGTACCTAGCCTCTCGTTCTCTTGATCGTCGTTGGGAAAGTTGTATTCTGCAGTTGGCAGGCATTAGTGTAAGCTCTCTACGATGCCAGAAGCCATCGGCAACCCACTTCCATCCTTGTATCGATGATATCTCCTCCCGTTTTCGTGTCGGTAGTCGATAATAGAGCTTCTCATGCTTGCGGTTGACGACGCACTGTCCTATCATCATGGCCTGCATTAGTGACCTTGTCTCTTTAAGCAGGACGTTGAGCAAGAGGCGACTCATACATCCCCAAGTGCGGAGTCCCCATCGTCAGCAATCTAGACGCAAGATTAGCTAGATCATTTTCATGTAGTGTTGTTGTTAGAGGGGATTGAACATCATCGTCTGGAACTACGATAAGATCCCCATCAGCCGTTGTCATCTCGCCGAGCTTAGATTGTCTTCAGGGACGTGTGTGTTGGGTTCTTTCGTCGTTTGACCGGGGTTGTAGGGTTGGCAACGCATTCAGGTCAAGATCTTCCTCATCCAAAGATAGCGAAGCACCCAGTTTTTAATGTCCAAGCGCCATTGTTGCCCCTCTCGAGCGGGGGCCAATCACCTTTGAGCTGGATTGCGTTGTTGTCTCTCATCTCACCGGATGTTCCGCAGGGGTTGGACCAACAAACACACAAGGATCGGATGGTTTCCATGCAACCCCTCCCAGCCCAACTCGGCTAGTCACGTCAAAGAAAAGAGAACATCACCACGGAGCCTGCTGGACTGGCCGACGGTCTTATTAACCTTTTTAGCTTCTGGCTGGAAGCTGTGGAAGAGGCAGAGTCTTACCTGTCGTTCGAGACCAGCATGAACGTGATGGAGTAGCTGCGTAGCCATTAGTCATCCGAGTGGAGGAAATCAGAGGTGCCGGAAGACTAGGTACGGTTGCAAAGTATGTGACGTAGCGATTTGTAACGATGCTGACTGTTGGTACCTCTATCACACGCCAATTTAGGTATGGGTGGAATGTACCGATCGTCGCGATCATTTTGATTGGCCCCCGACCCCAGTCGTGACCCCTCTGTTGCCTTGTACCGCTCAAAGAGATACGTCTTCATTCAAGACGATTGCGCCTTACCCCCACCCACACCAGCCAGTGACCTGCCAAACTGAACAAACGCCTCCCTGCCCTCCCTCGGGGTCGCCCACCCCCACACCCGCCTCGTCGAGCGCAACCGAAGGTCCAATACTCATGTGTCCCTGCCACGACTTGATTAGCTGCCTGCAATTAGCGTGTGTGCTTCTATGTCCGCCTTGCTTGTAAACTCGACCCTTGCGACGGGGCTGTTGTGGCTGCAGCCGGTCAAACAAGCCGTCAATGCGGTCTTCGACAAGGGTTTTAATTAAAACCAAAAACGGCAATGGATCGACGCAGTTTTCTCTTTCCCTGGAAGAGGAGATAACGTAGATCATCCCATCAGGGTCCCTGGTTCTCCTGCTCCGCGAGCTTTGAGACTTCAACTCGATAGAATCGAGGACTCGAGACTCAAAACTGACTGGCTACCTGTTGCCCTATACACATCCTCGTTACAGAGTATCTCGATTGACAAACGTGCTGCTCAACCTCGCAGGGCCTTACCTGCCAATTCATCTGCTTGCTTGTTACAAAACGTAGATATCGACGCAACCCGGAGAAAAAGAACCGTCAATGTTGACATTCGCATTGCGTATCTCCTTAGTGCTCACAAGCTCCAAGCGGGTCACGGCAATGGGCCTAGACCAATCAGAGCTCTCGTCAGTGGCGATACCTTATCCTATGCTATCTTCCGCCCGAGGCGTAAGTAGACACAATACAGGCGGCGGCCCTAGAGTGGAGTCCGTGAGGCCGCCCAGGGCGGGGTTGTTTGTTGTTGGGAAACCAATCGGTTAAACAACGGCAGACGCGGGTACCTCGGAGTGTCCTTAATATTTGAGGCCGCAACTAGCTCGGGGTCATCTCTCAAAACTCCGAAGTCGACACCACACACCCCGAAGCCGAGACGCTCTGGGCGTCCCATACGGTGCACGCGATGTCGGACCATCTTCGAGAGATCGAGCGGCTCCAGCGCGAGAACGAGGAGCTCAGGCGCGAGAAAGAGGAAGCAAAGGCACGAGAGGAGGCAGAGCGACGCGAGAACGAGGAGCTCAGGCGCGAGAAAGAGGCAGAGCGACGCAAGAACCAGAGGACTACACTGGAAGAATATCTATACAACTGCCACTTCCACCTCTACAAGAAACTCGCCCTCGCTGACAAATCCAAGTCCTCGACGGGATTCACGAAGGTCGAGGGTAAATACTATCCTAAGTGGCTTCGTCCCTGGACCAGCTTCACGAACACCCAGCGACAAGATCACTTTGAAGCAATCAGGAGGGTCTGTGGGGAGAGGCGGCTCTTCCATCAAGAGAGTACGACCAGAGATCTAGGATCGACGATCCATCGCAAACGGGCAGGCAACGAGAATGCCGTCGATCATTTTGAGAAGCTTGCCGTGGAAGATCCTGTCTGGGAAATTCTGCATCCCGTCTGGGACGACGAGGAGCTGTGCAAGGAATATCGGTGTATGGGACTACGATTCAGCAACAACATCCGGGATTTCACGCAACCGAGCGATGGTGTTCTGGTTGGGGAGGAGGACCTGAGCGAGGAAAGGCCGGAGCGACGGCGGCGGACCGGACCGAACAAGCGAGTGGCGTCCGAGCAGAGAGTCAAGCCTCCGGCGACGAAACCTGACGGAGCGGGTGTCCGTACGCGCTTGGGCGGAGATGAGAGCCTAACGTTCGTCTATGACTACAAGGCAGCCCACAAGGTGGCGTTAGAGCGCCTGAAGCCGGCCGTTGTGAAGGAGACGTTGTTTATGGAGGTAATGGAGCGGATCAACAGCAACAAGTCTCTGAGCGATGCCGAGCTTCGGGGACAAGACAGGGCGGAAGAACTGGTTGCCATGGCGCTGACGCAGGTCTTCGACTACATGGTAAGGTATGGGGTTGCATATGGCTATATTGCTGCCGGCGAGTCTTTATTATTCCTTCACATCGACCGAGCCAACCCGCAGACGCTGTATTGCCATCCGTGCGTGCCAGATGAGGACGTGGGCGAAGCGTCAGACGGGGATTGGGCCGACGATAAGGTGTCCTATACGGCAGCGGCTCAGCTGGCTAGCTTTTGCCTATTGAGTCTCCGATCTGAAGCTCTCAAAGGAGCTTCACTCGATGCGGCGTTGCGGAAGGCTGAGGCAGCACTGAAGAAATGGAGGGAGCCGTACGATGATGCGGCGTGTCTTTTAGGGGCGGAGGATACGAACTCACCCTCGGCGTCGTCGTCGCAAGCAACGGAAGGCTCGGAGTTCATGTCTAGCGCGGTCCCGGCCAGCCGAGAGGTCTCGCTGCGGTCAAGGCCGTCCTGCAGGTCCACGGCAGTGTTTCGTGGAGACGAGGCGGACGAAGAGGACGACGGGCCGGACGGCGATCTATACCGATCTTGGGCAAGGACGGACGTCAGCAAACGGAAAGAAGGCCCATCGAGCGGCAGCTCCGAGGGGGAGAGGAGGACGAGGATGCCGAGATGTCCGAGTCGGCACCTGTCAAGCAATACTGCACGCAGGCCTGCCTGTTGGGCCTCAAGAGAGGCTTGGATCTTGACAGCAACTGCCCCAACGTGCTCTCGCATCGGTCCGCTGAAGGTGGCACCCGGCACCCCATCGACGCCCATGACTTTGCCCGCCTCGTGGGCGAGCGGCTCCGCAAGAACCCGTATCGAGACTGCGAGGCGTTGGACGGCTGGGGCAAGATGGGAGCGACAGGCGTCCTCTTCAAGCTGGAGCTGGCGCCGTACGGGTACACGTTTGTCGGAAAGGGAACGCCGTTGCTGCATCCCCGCCGCCTGGAGCACGAGAGCCAGATCTACGCGCGGCTCGACAGGATCCAAGGCGAGGTGGTACCGGTACACCTGGGACTCGCGCGGCTAGACCGGGGCTACATACTCCCTGGCGGAGCCAGGGTCTTCCACATGATGCTGATGTCGTGGTGCGGGGAGCCGATGGCGAACACGGTGGCCGCGGGTGCTGGCGCTGGCGCGGCGGACCCAGCGGCGGAAGTGCGGCGTTCGTCGCAGGCCGTCTGGGCCGAGGGCGTCGACCACGGCGACGAACGCGAGGCCAACCGGCTTTGGAACGACGAGCGCCGCCGCGTCATGCTCATCGACTTCGACCGCGCCACCCTTCGTCCAAACCTCAAACACAACCAGCTTGTCAAGGTATCCGGGAAGAAGAGGAAACGGCAGGGAGATGAATTTGGGAATTACAACCGGAAACGTGGTTTCCGACAATATCACCTGCAGTCAGTGTAGCAGCCATTGCTCTATTTTTGTTCCTCTTTCTCAACAGTATGGTGCATGAAACGGTCTGGAGCCTCCGAGCAGATTACCGAGATGAAGGATGCGGGGACTAGACCTGGGTAATCGTGATTGTACATGCTGTCGGAGTTGCTTTGCGGCGCTTGGTAACCCTTCCGGAGCAAAGAATTCTAGAACATAGTTTATACTACCTTAGTGGCCGGCATTGCGGCAAGAACGGCATCAATGATGCTCCTTTTTTGGCCCAAATGTCGAGGTCCTTTGCGGTAAGATGCAGATGCTTCGTTCTAACCGATCCAGACCCCAGGGCCGCTTGCACTCGTCTCTGACCGAACTACGAAGTACTTTTTCGTCATGAACTCCTAGCAAAAAAAGGCCGACCAGACGTCCAAGGCATTTCTGAGAACGTGACGAATACTGGTATGTCGTGGCGTGTTCGGCCAAAGGTTTCCTGCCAACGAGTGCGGCGCATGCATTTCGTCAATAACTCCTTTGCCAGTACACCATCGCCGAGGGGTCTTTCGCTTGATTGCTTTTTCAGATGTTCACACTCCTCGGAGAATAACTGCTGAGCGATGTTCTTGACAGAATCTGGCGCCGCTCGTAGCCTGCCCACTATCGTCTCGCTACAGCAAGTAAACACCTCAAGCCATCTTAACCGCGCTGCTTACAGTGACTGCAGAATCTTTTCGCAATGGCCTTCAGGATCGCTAAGGAACTGTTCGACATCTTCGGTTCCCAGTGTCACATTCCACTTCCTTGTATTATCAATCCCCTGCCAAGTATTGCTGTCCTCGACACTCTTGCCGACACTCTTGCACAGTCGTGCCGTGACCTGACCATTGACTCTCATGTTGACAGACTTGCTAATCAACCAACGGCTTTCAATATTGATGCAATATTATTAAGGCAATTGATAGGGGGGCATGACGAATTGATACGCGGGCATGATCCTTAGGGGGGCATGACTTTTTGTAATACCTGATTGGGCCAAATTCTTCTAGACCCATAAATACCTCTGTGCAAAGGCGGTGAAGCCAGCTCGCTTAACAAGCCCAGATCTCGTCATCGCTACAGCAGCAATCAGGTTGGGGGAGTGCCTAGACAGGCTTGTATTCAGGTGTCAGGCAACAAAGCCTTATTCTCAATAGAGGAAAAATCCAATTCCCTTACGCTATCAAGGGCAGCTATCTACTTGTTTACTCTCACTACTATGGAAGGAAGAATCTCCTCGTCGCTGCCATGCAGCTCCTATTAACTCCTCCGTCTCCGAACGCTGGGTTGCGTAGTATGGGCCGATACTTGTTCCCAACACCGCCCGCCGAGGGAGGTCCATTCGGTGGTAACAGTGGGCTTCAGCCAGCCTGTCAGCTCCTGTAACTGTCGTTTTCGGCGGCGTGATTGATCGCTAGGACCAGGACTGCGGGTTCCACGTCTTAGATTTCTCTATGAGCCGGAAGGAGACTCGGATCGGGACAAAATGAAGATCCTAATCATTGAGGGTTGGGAGACATGGTGGATAGGAATGGAGAGAGCTTGGTCGCGTCGCACCAGCTGTTAAAGGAGAGCAAGGCTCGAGGTACTAAGGAGGTTCTGGCAGAATTCTGCTGACACTAACAATTTTTTTTGGACAAATCAGAGGCCATAACAGTCATGCCCCCCTAAGGATCATGCCCGCGTATCAATTCGTCATGCCCCCCTATCAATTGCCATTATTAAATCAATTCAATTCGTTGTGTTCTTCTTCAGACACTGTAACAACTATCTGACATCTTCTTGCATTATGACCGGTCTTGCCGCATGTTCCACAACGCACCACAAAAGCGTTGAATAAGCAGCGGGATGTCCAGCCGGTCTGGATCCAAACACGATAACCGAGTTTGCAATCAACGCAAAATGTCGAAGCGAGTAGTCACTACCGTAACTTGGCATATAAAGGGAGTTCTTAAGATATAATAGTTATCGTTCAAAGGTTTGCCAATTCAATGCTGAGCTGGTGAGGATGAGGAAGCAGAATCAAGCTGCGACCCTTCTCATCTTGGAAAGCAAGCTAGGATCGTCTGGAAATAAACCCGAACTCCATATCGACTAAGTTCTTTAAATCAGACTCAACGTAATAAAAATCGCGCAACCCAGGTTTGGTGGAGGATTTAACTCAAATAGTCTGCGGATAATACCTAGGATATTAATTAAACAGTGCGATTACAGACAGACGCCGAGAATGTACGTTGGTCTGAAGGGTCATGCTGTTGAACAAGTGCAGGGTTGTCACGTGCAAGCAGGGGTCCTCTAAGATTACACGCGTAACCAACCAGCCCCAAAGGGGCAGATTTCAACAAAACACAACAATGAATACATCAATCTGCATCAATGAACCGAATACACGTAATGTCTGACACATGCTGATCGCCGATCCACCTAGAACGGACCATCAGTCATTGAGGCTGGTTGTGCTGAGATACAGTGAATGATCTTCACAGCAATCTTAACGATGGAAATGAAATCTGAATTGCTACAAACACAATCGATGGAAACACAAGCAGTATCACCGTCTACAGCCAATCATTCAGTCGGTAGCGTGGCTGATTGTGGCGCCACAGCCCCGTATCAACGCGTTGCTGATGGTCAACGCGCCTGCGCTCAACTCGCGACCAGCATCTGCAGTGACGAAATAGTGCAACCGCTAAAACCAAGCTCGACGTGCAGAATTACGACAAAGTCAATCGTGCTATCGCGGTTCGGGCTTCATCGTCACGGTATGCCAAACAAAGGTATTCTCACCCTTATCGCCCATGTCGCGTGTGCTGACTGACCAGATCCTTACGACTTTCCAGCTTCGCCATTGAGGTCTCGAGACGCCATGCCTGCCAATACTCCTTCTAAGGAAGATGGTCTGGTTCATCGCAAAAAGTCTGATACTATCAGCGATTCTCCTGTTTTAAGATCTGGCACTCTTCGTACCAGTACTTCTAAAGGTACTCCCAGAGTCCCCGCCGAGCAGTGCGCTGTCACACCCCGTGCCAAACACGCCGAACACGCCAAACCCAAAAGCACCAAGCCTCAGCCCAACGGTGACTCGCCTGAAGAGGCCAATCCCGACTTTAGAGAAGACGTCGCGATTGACGAATTTGTCGATCATCGCGTCGACACCGACAACGCGACCGTCGACATCCAGGTCAAGTGGGAGGGCGGCGAAACAACCTGGGAATCAGAATGGAGTCTACAGGAGCAGGTTCCCACGCTTGTCTTCAAATACTGGGATAAGCTCGGCGGTCGCGAGGCTGCTACCAACCTCGACATCTACCACGCCTTCAACATTCTCAAGCGCACCGCTCATCCCGGCAAGTCCAAGGGTGACAAATACATGTACCAGGTGCAGTGGGTTGGGTACCGCGCCGCCGATTCAACCTGGGAGCAGGAGTCCAAGCTGCGCAAGATTGCTCCCAGTGAGTTGGAGAAGTTCGAAGCTAAGCAGTTGGCCAGCGGTGCCTCGACCGAGAAGCGCAAGACTACGCGTGGACCTGGAAGACCTCGCAAGAATCGCCGAGTGGGGGATTAAGTGATGCACAGGTAACATGCATGTAGAGCGTGGGTGTACGAACGAACACGATCGATAATGGTATTCATTCTATTTGGCTCGACGATACATTCGTCTAATCAGTTCTCGCGTGCTCCTCTTTGGCCTTGGCAGTGTGAGAAATAGGCGGTCCAGTCCAGTCCAGGGTGTCTGGACTGGACCGCCTGCGTATCTGGAAGTACTGGACTCTGGACCGCCTGCCATAATTGGACTGCTACCAAGAGTCGGACCAAAACTTGATACGGCGATGACGTTCCGGTATTGTTGCATTGATACTCAGGCCACATCGCATTGAGCATCAAGAACTGCACTGGTCGAGAAAACTATGTACAGAAACATCTATCATGATCTCCAAATAATTATCTCGTCCTCATCCCACTGTCGGAGACACTGAATAGCTCCAATCGTAGCTGCTGATAATCGGTTCCTCTTCTTTGTCACCATGTCCCCCATCCTACTATACCACCGCTCGTTATCTGCCTCCGTTGGTGGGATGCCGCAGGCTTTCTATCCATACGCGTATGGATTAATTAATCCATATGGAATAATCCATACACGTTAATCCATATTCCATACGGGGATGTCGTATTCCATAAGTATGGCAATACCGCGGAAAAAATTTGATCCCTGTAGTAATCTCGTTCAGGGGCGATTTTCCAACTCTCCACTCTTTCTTTAATTCTAACATCACTGTATAGGGACGCTGTGTATGTCCTCGCTAATGACGTCCACTTCTACTAACCCTGCGGGGTTTCCAGTGTCCACAAGCGAATTGTGCTCTTCCTCAATCTTTAGCACGAACCATCAATTCTCAAGTGGCGATGTCCAAGAGCGCATGGCTCGAAAGCGCAAAACGACTGCAAATACTTGGGCACACGCCCGTGAGCCCCTCAATTCGAAGCCATCTCGTTGCGGTCGCAAAAATGAGAAGATTTACTACTGCATGCATTGTGTAAGTCCGACTTACTCTACGACCGTTTCAACGACCTTTCGGAATCATCTGCTCAAGATACATGGCATTGAGCTGGAAGCCCATGAACATCCGATTAAAAAACGGCGTGACCGTCTTATTCAGGATGCTTTCGCCAAAGCCGGCGAGGTGCATGCTGCAAAGCAACTGGCAAAACGAGAAGAAACTCTGAGACATGCCATCAATCACAAAGCAGCGTTGGAGGCACTTATTCAGCTCGTGACTGTCCGTAGTCTCTCTTACAACTGCAGTTCTTGGCCAGAGCTCCATGCGCTCATTTCTGCAGTCAATCCTGCGGCAGATGACCTCATCAGCCTTTCTCACGGCTCCATACAGAAGCTTGTCTCCAATTCCTTTTGTGTACACAAAGATATGTTGAGATGAAAATTGCAGTCTACACCATGGAAACTTCATCTCTCTGCTGACGTGTGGTCTGCTCCAAATCACAAAGCTTTCCTTGGGATATGCGTCAAATTTGTAGATCCGGATACAAAGGAAGCGCTGCAGGCACTATTAGCTTTGTCGGAGTTGCCAGGTCTTGACGGGCCGGGTAGTCACGGTGGTGCCGAACAATGGAAGCTACTTTAGCACGTGCTCGAGGATTATAATATCTGGAATAAGGTGGGATTCTACACTGGTGATAACCATGGATCAAACGACAAATTATGCCGCTTACTCGCCAATTATCTCCAGGAGAAGGGCGTCGACTGGGAAGCCAAGACCCGTAGAATCCGGTGCCACGGCCATATAGTGAACCTGGCAGTTCAGGCTTTCCTTTTCATAGACTCAAAAGTGGCTGCTCGAGCGGCTTTGGAGCATATCGAAGACACCGATGAATCGGCTTTTGGCACTGATTTTTCTGAAAGGATCAAACCACAAAGGGCGCAAGGATGGCGGCGGCTTGGGCCTCTTGGAAAGGTGCACAACATATCGATTCACATGCACGAAAACGACTATCGATGGAATGAATTCAAGAAGCGCGCTGGAAGATCGCTGGGGCTCGACAACGATACACGGTGGAACTCATGGTTTCTCCTGCTAGACACCACTCTCAATCTTCAGAGCTATGTTGAGTGGTACCAGAAGAAGTATTACCAGGATTTGCGAGATGACTACCTCACGCCTGATGAGTGGAGTGCTCTAGGGGAGACGCGCGCATTCCTTCAACCGTTCTGGAAGATCACTCAGCTTACAGAAGGTCGTTACGCCACTCTAGACCGTTCACTTTTTACAATGGATGTTCTTCACAAACATTATACACAAGCTTTCCAGAAACACTCTGGCAACGTCACACTACGGAGCTGCGTTGCAGCTTCTTGGGCTGTATTCGATAAGTATTATCAGCTTACAGATGAGAGCCCTGCGTACGGTGCGGCAATAACACTTCATCCGTCACGACGTTTAGCCCATATAAAGAAGAACTGGCCAAAGTCCTGGCATAAACCAGTTCTTGACGGCGTGCGAAAGCATTGGAAAGACTACTACCACGAGCTCCCGCTCCCCACTACGACACCACAGCTGAGAGACGAAATACGGCGCCTTGATGAGTATGACCTACTCGCTCGGGAACTTGACGTTGTCAGCCCATCTATGTGTGAGCTGGACGAGTACGATGCTTTCACGACGCAACCGCCCATTATCATTGACTGCTCTCCACTATCTTGGTGGCTCAGAGAAGAACAACAGCAGACATACCCTCGTCTCTCTCGAATGGCTGTTGATATCCTCTCGATACCAGCCATGTCTGCCGAGCCGGAGCGCGTCTTCTCCGGGGCACGACGCACAATTTCGTGGGACCGGTGCCAATTGGGTAGTCGTACAATTGAAAGAGGCGAATGCATGAAGAGTTGGATCAAAAGCGGGATAACACAAGGTTATCCGGTAGATTTACTTGAGGCGGAAGCTATTGAGGACAACAACGTAGAGGGGTTAGATGATTCGGCTGGCTGGCAGAGCTCCAACCCAGATTCGGTTTAGTTGATAATGTAAATGACGTCATTTCTTAGTTTCCATATGTATGGATTAAGTTCCATATGGGTTGCATTCCATGTTCCATATTCCATAAGGCGCCGTATGGAGTATGGAGTATGGATAGAAAGCCTGGTACTGTATTGGCTGCTCTAAATTTCCGAGAGCTTGCATCCGCCTTTGAGCCTACCGTAGACGCCCAGGTCGAAGGAGTCGAAACGGATGCCAATAGCTGTGGCGATGGTGCCACGTTCTGCGCCGGCGCGACTTTGAACGGACTTTCCATCTTGAAACATTTAAATCGCAGATCACGGAATTCTCGCCCAACGCTAAAACCGTGAAGAAGAGTAACTCGATCAACAACAGAATCGTCATGGACGTAATCCTCCAACAGTCGCACATAAGAATTATCATGACAAGCCCCGAAGATGATATGGCGACAAGTAGGATTTCCGACGAATTGCTTGAAAGAACCTGCTTCTGTGTGAGCCAAGCTAGTGGCAAAGAAGTGACACGAGTTGTGACGCTTACCTTGAATCTTCTTATCTGCCCGATCCTTACCACTCCCGACTAACACAAAGTCGGTATTCTCGAATGCCTGCGTGAAGTCTTTTGTGAATTCCACAAGATCACGGGGCGCCTTAATCATGCCGGATGCAACGAGAAACTGAGACAAACCAAGCTCATTGGCATATGCCTTGATAAGTATGGGGTAATTGGCATGTTCTGGCCTGTTTGCCTGAAGAAAGCTGCGAACTCCATCTCGTAAATCAAGGGACGCCTTTCTACCGCCGTCGCCGGCGGCGTAGTACTCGTCTTTAAACTGGAACCAGTTAACAAACAGTTATATCAAAGATTCATATTCCATACAATATACGGATCGGCGTCGGCGTCGATTAAGACTAGAACAAATGAGCTGCGCTCCTAGAACTGGTTAGGCCTAGTGAAACGTGCTAACGATTAAATCGTACCATGGATTGCTGCAACTCTTCGTATTTGGATCGCGACTCATCTGCGTCCTGTTGGGAAAAACGCCTCGCAACCTTTTCACCTTCAAGATCCCGGACGGCGTCATTATACTTGCCAATCAAATCTTTAAGTTGACTACTCAGATCCTATGTCGCTTAAGTATCGTGCCGAATGATTGTTGGAGGAGAATACGTCAAAATTACCTGCAATCGGGCCGATCGCCTCTCTTCTGCAATTTGGAACGCCGCGAAGTCTTCCGCAAGCTTCGCGCTCATTGTCGTTGACCGCCTCTGGGTATATGTTGAAACTGCAGGTAGCTTTGCAAATCAAACAACGGAGATGTATCACCTTAGCACGTGATGAGAGACGGAAGTTTCGAGAATCCTTCTGCCGATCAGCCAACAACAATCCACGTAATTCCCCCCATACATCTTTATATCTGCCCACTAACCACAGTCGCCAAAAGAATTGATTGATCGTCATCGCCAATAGCTCGAAGCCCTGCAGCACGGCCTAGAATTCATATTAGTTAGGAACCTTGAGATTGAATATAGATCTTCGGAGCTATAGCAGCTGTTGCATTACCTAATCGATAAACTATCAGCTCGGATTTATGAAAGTAATTGCGGACACGCTGTTCTTATTTTTCTAGCCCCACCGCTCAGTTGTCAGTTCACGTCACTGGCTCCAGGCCATGCCTTGCAGGGACTAACTCAAATCGGCTCCCCGCAAATCAAAAATTTAGCTTATCGCCATGTCGGCTTCAATACGGCGATACGGCGGGGTTCCTACATTGTTTGAACCGTGATCGGCAATTAGTTCGATTTACTGGCACAAGATGAATTGGCCCGTCACTCGGTTTATAGCGACTATAGCAACAACAAACAAGATTTTCCATTATTACGAGATGGAGCCAGCATAGCCTTTCCACTGGCTATACACCGGGGCGGACCGATATAGATTAGAGGAATGTAACATTGAGAGGTGGCACGGGAGCTGTTCATTTCGACCTTTCAGCTCCCCACTCTTGAATCTTGGTATCTGGTCAGGTCATAGTTGACAGGTGCCAAGTGGCACACGATTTGTAATCGAGCTTGCTGCCTCCCTTAGTCCTACATGTCTTATTACCCCGCCCTGCCCGGCGCTCAATCAAAGACGGGGTTGATAGCTTCCAAGGGTCACACAGCACAATTCAGGGATGAGTGCAGAGGTTCTGGTTATCTGCGGGGGTTGAAAATATGCAGCCGCTTCCCTTTTCATCCATGCCTGGCGCGACCATGCAGCCAACAATTATATTTCAACGAATCATAATGTGACTGCACTGCTCTCAAGAGAAGAGAAAAGAGACAACATGGAGAACACATCTACGCCACGTAAGATATTGCGATGAAACGGACTAATGTTCGTCATATTTTACATCAATAACAGGGATTCTTTCTTCTGATATGCCGCGTGCCCCTTCTCGCACCTCATCTGTTGTTTCTCCTTACACGTTATTTTCTCGCAAACGGTTACGCTTCCGTTCGTCCGGTGAGGCTGATATGCAATTTTAAGTTGATGCTAGTTGATCTCTTCGTACCTAAGCCAATAGCCACCTGCAGCAGAAGGCCTCATTATGAGAATTGATAGTCTTGATTCCCTAATCGCACCAATTGGAGAGTCTCTCATGGCTTTATTCTCAAGGGCCATCAGCGGGCTCTTCCGTCCGAGGTTGGGCTATGGTGGACCGATAAGGTGATCCCTAAATGATCAAAGCAGCGCAATTTACCATAGAGGTTCCTGTTTAGCCTTAGTTTGGGTGCCTAAAGATCGAGAATCACAAAGCTTGGGGTTCTCCGGGCTATGACATGCTACTGTACAAAGGAAGCAATAAGTTGTGGACATCTAACTATCCAACTGACACGAGCGGTATAAATCAGTTTAGAATAAAAAACAAAAACTAATTATCTCGTTGAGGCTCTGAGTTTGATTCTTTTATTTAAGTGACTATTAAGTAAGAAAAGCATAATAAGCGACTTTTTAAAGGTTTAATATCAGGCCAATATGTTATGTTATGTTATGTATATTTTTCGTCCGGGGGGCCGTAGGCCCCGAAAGTCTCCTAATGGAGCACAGGACGTGCTGAGCTAGAGAAATTGGGACCTATCTACACACTAATTACAGAATACTATGACTTCCTCTCGAATTCCAATTCTGCAGACGCGTCGATAGACCTCACACTATCCAGCATATCAACGGCACAAATGGCGCATCTTATCTAGCCTGTTACCCGTCAGCGGGATGATCAGGCGCGGCTGATGAACGACAGCCGCAAGGTAAGCCCGTTGTTAGGCGATCGTGAGCCTCTGGGCGCGGTAGCCTCAGGGCTGCCTTCAAGTGGTCACGATCAGATAGAGGGCGTGCTAGCGCCCTTCATCTGGCCGAGAACAGGTAAGAGAGAAAGGTAAGAAAAAGGAAATGTATAAGGGTAAAAGAGGGGAGGAAGGATGCGAGTGCGTCCCGGGTCGTGCTCGTCTAATAACGAGGACAGATCTTTCCAAAGAAAACGCTGGCTTTAGACAGTTCGGTGAACTTGGTGAAGTCTCTTCCTGTTGCCAGGTTGACTGCTGCATTCGGTGAGGGTGCCAACCTCATCCGATGACGCGGCGGTACCTTTCTGCAGTAGAAGATGTGGTCCGGTGCTTTGCGTCGGTTGCATGAGCAGACCAGGCGTGCATCACTATGGTCGAATCTCTCGTGATATGCGGCGAAGTCCCCATGAAGCGACCTTGCTGCCAGCAGATGGTGCAAGGCTGCACGCGGGAGCGACAGCTCCGGCGGACAGCCTGTAGTCGCCTTGAGATTGAGTCTTTTGTACTGCTCAGGAGCGGAGGTGGACCACCACGCCTGGAACGCTTCTTTCGGCTTCTGTCTTGCGATTCTTCGTAGGTAAGCCAGCGTCGGTTGAGCGCCTTCGGGCTCGGGGAGCGATGACGCTGCCTTTGCCAGCTTGTCGGCCTGTTCGTTGCCAGGGATGTTGGAGTGCCCTGGCACCCAGCGAACTTGGATGGCTCCATGCGATGTCGTCAGAGCTTGGAACTCGAGAAAGACGTTTTGAGAGGATTCAGAAGGAGTGCCTCGTAGACACGTGGCGGCTGCCAGGTTATCTAGGCAGATGAATATATTCTGTGTTGCTAATTCTCGCAGGTTTAGAGCAGCCTTCAGGCCCTCTAAAGCCCCGGTAGCTTCAGCATCGAAAACCTCAGCAGGTCCGAGGCGACCTGATCCGTCAAAGATGGGGATATTGTTCTGATGGATGGTGAAGCCATAGCTGGCAGCCCCTTCTGAGGAAAGAGAGCCATCCGAGTATACGACCAAGGTGAGCGGGTCGAGAGACTCGACCCAGCGGGAAAAGGCGTCAGCCGATTTCTCTTTAGACGCTGTCTGCAGTGGGGGCAACTGTTCTTGATGGAAGCATCGATAGACGAGTTTCGGCCGCGTGCAGGGTGCAAAGAGTTCGTTTGCACGTCGAAGGCGCGTCCTGAAGCTGCTCTCTGCCTGTATTTGATATCTTCGTTTGATGAGGTCGTGGTAAGTAGGCTGTCGGGGCGGGCGCGTTCGGATCGCCAGAGGATGAGCCTCATCCAGCGATTTGAGTCGTGCGGAGAACCTAAGTCGCCTCGCGTCAAGCAATTGATCGACTGGTGGTATCCCGCTTTCTCTGTGGAGGACGGTGATGGGTGTCGTCTTCCAGACGGGAAGAATGGCCTTCATAGCCTGTTTCATGGCTTTTGTCATTATTTGCACGAGATGCTGGTTACTCGATGGTAGATCTTTCGTAGGATGGGTCCACCGCGGCCTGGTCTTGCCCGGGTACCACGCCTCTGAGCCGTGGAGCAGCACTGGCTCGACACATGCTCTGACGGCGCCTCGCACGGCGCTCGGTAGAGGGCCGTGTACCGTGTTGGTGAGCCCCCGCAAATGATAAGCCACTGCCTTTGCTTTGGCCGCCCACTTTTCGACATGAAGTCGAAAAGATAGTCTGCTATCCAACCAGATACCAAGCCAGCGTAGAGCTGGTTCAGGGTATTTCTCGACATCGCCGTGGCGCACTGCCGGCGCAGTCCTGAGTTTGCTGCGGGAGAAATGCATGACTTCGGTCTTCTTCGTGTCGAAGGACACGCCATTCTCCGCGCCCCATCGCACCATCTCGGCGATGGAACTAGATGCCATGGCAGAAGTCTCGTCTACTGTGTCGCCTATGGACAGGATGGCCGTGTCGTCTGCATAGCCGAAGCGACCCTGAGGGTTCCCTAATCGATAGATTGGCTCAGTGTAGAGCAGAAAGAGGATTGGCGATACCGGCGACCCCTGAGGGAGGCCGCACTGAAGGGGAGAAGAGGGCGTGACTGTGTCTTGGTACCTGACACGCGCCGACCGGCCGCCCATGAAGGAGCCGGCCCAGCGAGCCAGATGATTAGGCCAGCCTTGCTCACGAAGACGCAGGACGAGCCTGTTGCGCATGACGGTGTCGAAAGCACCTTGGACGTCCATTGTGACTAGAGTCGCCACCTTCTTGCGTGCAAACGCTTCTTCAATATCATGGACCAGAGCAGTTACCAAGTCTGTTGCCGACCTCTTGGGGAGCGCCCCAGCTTGCTGCGGATGAAGGACGCTGTAGTGAACGGCTGCCCAGGCTAGGCGGCGCGCGATCAGTCGTTCTAGTCCCTTACCAAGACAGGAGAGCAGTGAGATGGGTCGCCATGCTCGTGGTTCGGTAAGGTCTCTCCGTCCCGGTTTCGCGATCATGACCACCTCCGCCTCCTTGAATGGTTTTGGATGATGGCCTATGGTAAGGCATCTTTCGAAGAGACGCCGGACGTGTGTACCGATGGTATGCCATACTGCTTCAAGAAGTTTGACTGTGATGTTGTCTGACCCTGGGGATGTATTGCCTGTGTGACAAGTCGCATATTGCGCCTCCTCCAGAGAGATTTCGGGAGAGAATGGGATCGATCTAGGTGGGAATACTGGCGTCCATGCGTTTGCGATGTCGTCCTCCGCAGTTCTTCGTTCAAGCGTGGCCTGTCGGAGTGCGTTGGCTTTATCCATCTGGCTTTCGTACACGACGTTATCGACCTGTAGAGGTGGCGGCTGGAAGGCTCCTGGGGACTTTAGCCACCGGACAGCTTTGAAAACGTCGCTACTGCTGGAGAAGCCATCGATGAGGTTACGCCAATAGCGCCTCTTGGCCCGACGGACCACACGATGAAAGCCTCTTTTGGCGATCTGAACG